TTCGGACAATCGTCGGAGGTTCTGCGAGAACAAATCTGAGAAGTCCATGAGCTTGCCAAAGAAGCTCGTCGGAACTCGCCAAGTGGATCGTCGCAAGTCCAGGAGTTTGCCGGAAGTCCGCAGGAGCATCACCGAGGGTTCATCGGATGATCGACGGAAGTTCGTCGGAAGCTCGCCGAAAGAAGCGATTGACGCACCGAAGCAAGTTGCAGTAAATGTCTTAGGAAATATCGTAGTTAGCACAATGATTAAGTTAGAAATGGGAGGTGATCCCATTAACTTAATCTTGGGGCAATTGGGCCCCTGAAAAACCCAAATTAGGCTGAATGGATCAACCCATTCGGACCCTGATTTCTGCTAGACGGTTGAACCGCCCAAGCCAGGCGGTGGCATCGCCTAGGCTCAGTCTCCGAGCGAGACTGGGCGGTACAACCGCCCCAGCCAGGAGGTGGCACCGCTTGGGCTCGATCTCCGAGCTTTGGCTGAGCGGTGCAACCGCCTCAGTCAGGCGGTGGCACCGCATGAGCTCGGTCTTCGAGCTCTGGCAGGAGGTGCAACCGCCCCTGACAGAGGTGGCAACGCCCAGAGGCTCAGTCTTCGAGCTCTGCCAAGCGGTGCAACCGCCTCAGTCAGGCGGTGCAACCGCCAGATCCCGGAATTCCGGGAATTGACAGTTTTGAGCTCCAAATTCAAACTGGGTTGGGGCCTATAAATACCCCACCCATTCAACACTGAAAGGGCACAAAAAACACACCGAAATCCTGATCTTATTCTGTGATTCTTAGAGCTCAAAATTGTTGTAAAGGCCAAAAGTTCTTCTCCCTCTTTTCTTCCAAGTTCTGATCTTTAAATAGAGGAGAGAAAATTCTGTAAGGGTTGTCTCCTAAGCCCGTCAAAAGGAGTGAAACTGTAAAAGGGTGGTTGGCCTTCGCCTATTGAAGGAAGGCCTCTAGTTGATGTCGGTGGAGTTAGCCAAAAGTGGAGTAGGTCAAGATTGACCGAACCACTCTAAATCTCGGTTTGCATTTACTTTGAGCATATTATCTTTACTGCAAACCTCCTCAAAAGCTTATTGCTTTCTGTGCATATACGATTGGGTTTCAAGCTTTGCACTTTCCGAATCGGCGTTTAGACGTAAATCAGTTTTATCGTACGATCATCATATTTCAGTTTGCGCTTACGTTTTGATTTCTATCATAACTGCAAACTGCCTTTATATCCTTGCTTTAACTACATCTCGCTTAATCAAGTGATTTATGAATCAGCATTTAGACGTAAATCAGTTTTTTCGTACGAATATCATATTTCAGTTTGCGCCTACTATTTGATTTGAACCATAACTGCAAACTGCATTTATATCTTTGCTGCATCTCGCTTAATCAAAAGTTAAAGTGATTTACGAATCAGCTTTCTTACTAAAATTACTTTTATCGTACGAACACTTTTTTAATCGTCGAAAGTTTTCCGCTGCACTAATTCACCCCCCCCCCTCTTAGTGCTCTTGATCCTAACACATAGGTCACGACGATCGAACCACTATAAATCTGATATACTCGGTTTAAATTTCTGTTCTGCTTTTCATTCTCATATTGAAAATTAATTTACTTACTTACTACTTTCACTATGCTTACGAATGCGCTTTTAAGTTAAACTCATCTTTCCGATACGAGTTTTATCGAACGATATTTTCGAATTGACATAATTTTTCATAAGCACTAATTCACCCCCCCCTATCTTAATGCTGGTTTCAGTCCTAACAATTAGATCATAACTTCATCAATCGATTTCATTATCAAAATCTAAGATTTAATAATTTTTTTATTTTTATTATGATAACCCATTAATGATGGAGCTTTAACTAAACTCTTCTTGTCTATATGATATATTGAAATAAATTTAAATTTTAAAAATGATAATATTTTAATCATAATATCTTTGAATTCAAGTCAAAATAATTATGATGATGGTGACTCTTACATCATTGCATGCATCATAAAATCATGAGTATTGCATACATAATTTTAAATTATCATAATTTTAAGAATCATCAAAGTATACTTCTCCCCTTTTATCATTAATAAAAAAGAGAAAAGTGCAACTAGCAAGTTTTTTATATATGCTAGCTAGCAATATTTTTGAGATGTGTAAATTAATCATTTTTGCTTCTCTTGATATCTGTAAGTTAGCAATTCTTACTTCTTTTTTAAGATATTTAAGCTAGCAATTCTTACTTCTCTTTTGAGATGTACAAGCTAGCAATTTTTGCTTCTCTTGAGATGTGTAAGTTTGTATATTTTTGCTTATTCTTAAAATGTGCAAGCTAGTAAATTTTACTTCTCTTTTGATATATGCAAGCTAGTAAGTTTTTGCTTCCTTTTGAAATATGCAAGCTAGTAATTCTTTCCCCCCCTTTGTTATTGTAAAAAAGAATAGAATGATATAATGGTATAATTCTTTTTCCTTTACATCAATGTTCAAATCATCACATAAAATATATTTCAAAAAATCAATTTGGTGATTAAGTAGTTGAGATTTGAATATTGAGGTGGATATATGAAGTTACTTTAAAATTTTAAAAAAATATTTTTATTTATAAATAATTAGATATTATTTTAATAAAATATATAATAAGATAAAATTATTTAAGATGATATAAATATGTGACCGGGGGATCTATAAATATGATAGAAGAGATAAAATATTTAATTTAGCATTAATGATAGGAGGAGAGGCAAAAAAAAAGATCTAAAAAATATTAATAAAAATTATAAATAAAAAATTAAATTCTCTAAACTTATTGAGATAACAAAGCATCTATCAAATCATCCTCAAAGCGGTAGGATTTTACTGGTGTATTGTTGTTGCTGTTGTGATAGATTTTAAACATGAGATGGGTTTGCAAGTTATTCTTTTGCTGTGATAAAATTTAAGGTATTATTACCAAATCAAAAACATATGATTTATGTACAGTGTGAAAAATATGATCTTTTTTTTTTTCCACATTTGCTGCTGGTCAACGACGACTTTCTTGTCATAATCTCCTATATTTCTTCCCGATTAATAATTGTGTCAATGTAGCTCGTTCATCCATATTCTTACACAAACATAGTGCTTTTCTTAATATCTTATTAACAATGTGATTCACCTAATTGCTCCTCTTACCAATTCTCTGTGTTGCGATCAGCAAAGTGTGGAATTGCGTTATGATACCGTCTACTTAGCTAATCGAGTCCACCTAACTTGTGATTGGAGACTAATCTCTTATATTTCTTCCCAATTAATAATTATGTCAATGTGGCTCGTTCATCTATATTCGTACACAAATATAGTGCTTTCCTTAATATCTTATTGACTATGTGATTCACGTGATGGCTCCTCGTACCAATTCCGTGTTGCGAAAGGAAAGTCTGGAATCGCGTTATTCCAACATCTCCTTAGCTAATCGAGTCCACCTAACTTGTGATTGGATAGGAATGCGGGCTATCTCAGCACAACTCTGGTAGGGCAGAAGATTTGGCCACCTGAGACTATAATTAAATTTCCTACATCTTTTCGCCTTGTGGCGGCTAACAGACTTCAGAGACCAAGACGCTTACGTATATGGCTCACCTTTATCCCCTCCACCTTCGTCTTGGTGGTTCCCTTCTCTGCAGTCGTGATGGAGTCCTCTCTGTGGCTGCTTCTTTCTCTCGGTGTCTCCGTCCTTTCTCTTCTTCTTCTTTCTAGAGCCGCAAAGAGGTCATCGAAGTCCGGCGGTCACCAGCTTCCACCTGGGCCGACTCCACTTCCAGTTGTCGGCAACCTGTTCGAGCTCGGAGACAAACCCCACCGTTCCCTCGCCCGCCTCGCCAAGCTATATTCCCCAGTCATGACCCTCCGCCTCGGTCGAGTGACCACCGTGTTCGTCTCCTCCCCGGAAATGGCAGGAGAAATCCTGCAGAAGAACGATGCAGTGCTCTCCAGTCGCTGGATCCCAGAAGCTGTTCGCGTGTTGGACCAGAGCGAGGCCTCCATGGTGTGGCTTCCGCCGTGCCAACGATGGCGGAAACTGCGTAGAATCTGTAAAACCCAGCTCTTTACTGCAGAAAGACTCGACAGCTACCAGTCCCTTCGGCGCGAAAAGGTACAGGAACTGATGCAGTACATCTCTGACAGCACGTCCAAGGGCTTGCTGGTTCACGTCGGGCACGTGGCGTTCAGCACCACGCTGAATTTAATTTCTCGCACCGTCTTCTCCGTGGATCTCGTCGATCTCTACGCTGAGTCCGCGCAAGAATTCAAGCAAGTGGTGGAGGGGATCACGGAGGAAGCTGGGCGGGCGAACCTGTCCGATTACTTCCCACTGCTCGCAAAGCTCGACCCGCAGGGCATTCGTCGCCGTTCCACCAAATACTTCAAGAGGCTGCATGACATCTTCGATGAGCAAATAGATCGGCGGCTACACAGGGAACGAGATCG